CCCCAGCACCCTGCCAAACACTGCAGCACCCAGCACCACCCTGTCACTGGCCCCAGCACCCTGCCACCCACCCCAGCATCCAGCACCACCCTGTCCTCAGCCTCAGCACCCTGCCATCCACACTAGCACCCAGCACCACCCTGTCACTGGCCCCAGCACCCTGCCATCTGAGATCAAGTGTGTCTGGTATTTTTTTTAAATCATCAGGTAACCCTAGGGCAGGGAGTGATTCCATCCAAGGCCTAAGTGCCACTGTGGATCAGCCTGCTGCAGGGGGTGGGACTGTAACGGCACTACCGCCATAGCTTGCAGGGGAAACCCCAGCTAGAGACTCCGGAATGACTGGGTGTGGGGACGTTGGGGGCCAACGGGCCTGAGGTGATATGCAGTAGCAGGCGTACAAGGGAAGCAGTGTGGGGCCTGGCGGCTGAGGGGAGGCACTGGCAGTGCGCTGAACTGGTCTGGAAGCCCCTGCTTAGGGGAAGCAACCACTGCGCCATGTCCACTTCTGGCAGCTGGCTGTGGTGCGCGACCACATGCATGGGGTAGACTGAGCTTTGGCTCACTGCCTGGGGACAGGTGCTCCTCCCAAGAGGGGGTTCTCAGCCCTCCAGCCCAAGGGCTGCTTCAGCTGGTATGAGGCCCTGGGCGCAGTCCACTCGTGCCGGGAATGAAGGCAGGCTCTATGCCCCGTGTCCCCAGCTGCCTACCACCCTCTCCTCTGCCACCCCAATGGAAACTGCTCCTGCAGCCCGGCAGCCCCCTAGGCATCACAGAGGAGAGGCCAAACAGCTTTCACACTGGCTGGCAGCACTGGCTGTCAACGGGGTGCCTGCCTGTGCGTGGTGGTGCCTGGAGACCCCCTTACTGCGTAGCCCCACATACGAGCCTGGTGTTGTTTCCTTGCTGATTAGGTTGCCTGTTCATGGGAGGGGGCAGGGTGTGCCTAGGGACAGAGGAAAGGGGATAAGGGTGTATGAGGGATGGGTGGTGCAGTAAGGGGGGCTTGGTGGGGGTGAGGGAGATATAGGAATGGAGGTGGGGGCATGGGCAGTGTGGGAGTGTAGAGGGGGAGGGGTTAAGGAAGGTGGGGGTAAGGCTAGGCAGTGTGGGGTGGAGGGGGGAAGGGGTTAGGAAGGACAGATGGGTGTAGGAATGGAGGCAGAGGAATGGGGGTGTAGGAATGGAGAATGGAGGTGGGGGTAGGGATGGAAGGAGGGGGTGGGCTGTGAGCCATGGACTATTTTATTGGCAGATGGGGCAGGAGCGGGAAGGGTGTGGGTGGAGAGGACTGGCTGGTGAATGAAGGGCAAGAGCAGCTGGGATAGGCAGAGTGTTTGGATAGAGGGGCCCATCCAGGGATGGTGGGTGGGAGTGGAGAAGGATGCGAGTGACTTGGGGCCATGGGGCGTACAGCTGTGTTCAGTACAAGATTAACAGGTTCTCTGGCCAGCAAGGGGGGGGGGGGGGGCTAGCGAGCAGGGAGGCACAGCCCCATGGCTCATTTTAAACAAGTTTCTTACCTTTGTCGAGATGGTACTGAAGAGAGAACTGCTGTGGGTCTCATTATCCCTGCTAACTGAAAGACCATCATCATTACAAGCTAGGGTGATTGGTTGATTGTGCATTACCTGAAGTCATTTCACTTACATTTCCATCATGGTTGGGGCAGGAGAGTGGTTTTCCTGCAGCAACAGCTGTGACAGTCTCCAAGATGGAAGACTCTTCAATGCTGTTGTCTGGCGTTCTCTGCAGGACATCCATCAGGTTGGTGATAAAGAAATTGTTCTGGAGTGCAGAAACCCCTTTCTCTGGCAGAATGGAGGTCTGACGGCACACTGGGCAAGAAAGGGTTAAACTATGGGCTGGAATGTAATTCTGCAAACACCTAGTGTGAGGAAAGATTGAAAAACAGAGAGTAGCATCAAAACCCAAAATCTCTTAGAAGGTGTTTTGCTTTTGAAAGAATAATTTATAGCTAGCAACTGCTGCAGTTTGCATAGCAAGGGTGAAATCTGGCCATCATGAACATCAGAAAGGAATTTCTTCTTTAATCTGTCCTCTCATTCCTACATCCTACTGCTACATGCAAGGAATGCAGGAAACTAGATTTCATGGATCTGATCTGACAAATATAAGCTCCTTCATCAACTATTTGTGCCCCGTTAATTGGTATATATTGACTAGCTGCTGTCTTCTCAATATAATTCTCTTTTAATTTTAAACTTTCATTTAGGGCCAAATCCTGTTCCCAATAAAGTCAACTTTGACATTTACTTCTATGAAGCCAGGATTTCATGCTACGTGACTTCTAAGAGCTATTTCATTTGGTTCACTGTCAAAAGCAACCACTATCCAAGAGAAATCATTTTGCTCTTCACGCAAACAAAACTGAAAATATTACACTTCAGTGTTATTGGTCATACCCACTGCAAATCCAGCTAGAAAGTGATAATTAACACCTTTACTATACATTCACATGAGGTATGATTTGACTTCAATTTTTCAACAGCTCTGTATGTAAACTAAAAGTCTACCACAAGCTAACTCTCTTGGGCCAAACAAAGGACTCTAAATTGTATTTTTAAAATTTATTTTTCAACAAACATTTTTCCTTCTCTCTACAATTTGGTGGAAAATATCATTCTAAATTATTGCTAGTTGCACTGGTGTCAGTCAATAGAGCAAAATGGAAATCAGATGTATTTTCAGATTTCCTTTCTGAGAAAAATTGGTAGGTAAAAATAATTTCTTACCTAACTATGAAAGAATTATTTCTTAGTTACGAGTCATTGATATTTGAATATGTCATGTCTAAAAACATGAACATTAAAGAATGGGATAATTATTCTCTACAATGTAAATCAACATTTGTATTGCTTTTATTGGACTACAGGCAGTCCCCGACTTACGTTGGATCCGACTTATGTCGGATCCGCAGTTACAAACGGGGCTGCCCCAGAGTACACGGACTGCCGGACCTCGCGGTCCTGCCGCCTGTGTACTCTGGGGCTTTCTCTGCATCTCCCTGGTCTGCAGACCAGGAAGACGCAGAGCAAAGCTGCGGAGGGGCTCCCGCAG